AAGGCAGGAAAGTTGGACACCCTCCCCCCCACAATACACAATGGGGTGAACGGAAAAGAGATTCTGCCCACACCAGGAGCCCTAGCTGGACCGGAAAAACAGAATGTACTTCTGTGGCTCCATCACCTACCAACCAGATTCATATTCTGTCTGGCAGATTTGTGCAATTGAGAGAGTTACCTGGACTGGGATATTAGCCATCAATCAGCCCTTCAAAGACCTGATTTTCCTTTTTCTCAATTTAGCCAGCTTAGACAAATCTCCAACCTATCTTTTTTTTGGGGGGGGGGGGGAATTGGAGAACCTGGTACCGTTTCAGTTTTAGAGGGTTTTGGAGGAAATGGATTTCTGGATTATTCTCTATTGAATTTTAAGCCCAAGTCTAGGATGGAAACAGCACCGGTCATCCTGAAAGATCCTGAAAGATGGGATGGAGGGCATCTACCTCTCTGCGATACCTCTTATCATAAATTATAGTATCGTCCTGATGCTTCTGTGAGGATTGGAGGAATTGTTCAGTGGTGGCATCAGTCTTTCTTTATTGAGTGGTTTCAGTGTGTAGAGAGGAAGAATGATGATCTAATGCAGGGGTGTCAAACTGCCGGCCCGCGGGCCAGACGTGTCACGTGAAAGCCGCACCCACCCCATTGCAGGCAATGGCAAAACTGTCCCGATACGTTGTGCGATGTCACATGATGTCGCAAGTTTGACATGTCTGATCTAATGGTTGCCCTATCCATACTATTCCACATTTGTATAAAGTTATTGAGAAAGTCCTGGTGCCTCCTTACTCTTGGATGAAGTATCATTAATATCCTGATGATACTGAATGACACTGATACATCATCACAGCCAAGATTGCTGTGGAAATCCTGACCTAGTGCCTAGAGCAGGGCTTTTCAACCAGTGGTACGGGTACCACCTGTGGTACATTGGCACCTGGCAGGTGGTACGCAACCATCCTAGAAAAGTGATAGTGGGGGAGGGGAATGAGCTGAACCGGTGGCAGCACCGCACAAGCCTGAGCGAGAGATGGCTGGAGCTGCAGGGCTGAGCGGAAGCGCCAGGATCAGCGCCAGGCTCCAGCTGGAGCTCGGTGCTAATCCTGGTGTTTCTGCTGAGCCCTGAAGAAGCACCAATCAGCTGGAAAGCAGCACTGATCCTGGCGCTTCTGCTGAGCCCAGAAGTGCCGATCAGCTGGAATGTTGCAGCATCTCCAAGGTCTTGTGATTTACATTCAGATACTTGGCAACTGATTCATATTTATGACGGTCACAGTGTCCCAGGGTCATGTGAAGTGACCAAAACCTGCTGCAACCACCCAGCAGACGGGGGGAATAAAAACCAAATATCCCCCACCCCACCCCCACTGCCAATCCTCAACAGAAATGCTCACAACAATGAAAACCTCGGACAGGAGGAAGAGCACCACCGGGCGGGCAGGCAGGTGTCTTGCTCGGCTGTGGCTTGGGGGGCACTTTTTTCAGTGCCATTGTAACTTCAAACAGTCACTAAGTGAACTGTTGTAAGTTGAGGACTATCTGTACTTTATCACTTTTTTCCTTTTTTTTTTGGTCATCAAGTTTTTGACACCTTGCTAGGCGACTGGTGGTACTCAGATGTTGCCATATCCTAAAAGTGGTACAATGGGTGAAAAGGTTGAAAAGCCCTGTTCTAGTCCAACATCCATCAGGAAATATATCTAACAAACGGTGTCTAATCTTTGCCTGAAAAATCTCCAATGATGGAGCTCCCCAACCCTAGAAGACAGTGGTCTTGTGGTCAGGAAGCATCTCATTTGAGTTTGGATCTCTTTTGAAAGCTCTCATTCATTGGTCCTTGTCTTATTTTCAGGCATAAAAAAGAACAAATCTACAGGATCTTCCCTGTGACAGTTCTTCAGGTATGGGAAGACTGCTAACGTTTTCTTTCTTTTCTTTACACTAGTCTAGGCTTCATCATTCTTCATCGTGTCTATCATCAAAACTCCTCCTAATCCTTGTCACTTTTCTTTGTACTTCCTGCTAGTTCCTCCATAGATAAACATACTTCCGATGGTTTTGACCTGTATCATAAGGTCTATTCTATACTAGTCCTGTTATATCACCTTAATAATATTTAATAATATGGTCATAAAGACACTACGTTATGACCCAGAAACTTTCGACGTCCTATAACGATCGGCTACGAAGTAGACATCCAGATGGTCCTACGGGTCCATAAAGAGTTTTCATGAAGACACAAGCCAAGTACTACTTATCTTATACCATGCATTTGGTTTTCTTACCCAAGTGCAGAATTTTACTCTGGGCATATTATACCTTCTAACTCTGTTGTTTGAATTACAGACTTTAGTTTTCTATGCTTCAAATGTATTGTAAAGAAATAGAAAGGAGAATTTCATCTCATCCTATGCTATGGTTACATTTCTTACAATAATTGATAATTGGAATGTATACATTCTTATTGTCCAGAAAGTTAAATACAGAAGTATTCCCCTATTTAGCTTAAGGCTTTATCAAGGAAACAGTAACCAATATGCCATCACTTTCAGGACATTCCTTAGTGACTTTAATACCTCCACAAATCTCTGTCTTTTTAGTTATAATAAAAACATATTCAGTGCACATATCATGTTGAGACATGGCTTGCTTATCCATTAGCTCAATGGTTCTCAACCTTCACCATGGACCCTTTAAATATCTTTTGTGGCCACGGATCATGACCACAGATCCCGAAAACTTAACTCAAGATTTAAATCATAACATTTCTTAAAGCCTTTGCAGACCTCCTGTGACAACATTGTGGCCACTCAGGAGTCCACGGACCACAGGTTGGGAACCACTGTATTAGCTGATTCTTGCAATACACTTTAAATAGAACTGAAAAGGGAATCTGTCTTTTAAAAACTGAGTTCCCACCATATCTCTTTTAGCATCCGGTTGTAACAATGTGAGGAAGAGTTTGGATTTTAAAGTACGGTAGTTAAGTTGACTTTTCTTGATACAAGAAAAGAGTGACAAAAATGCTGCTGTATTTTGCTTGGAGGTATGTATTTAAGCTGAATACTAAGGATTATAACAACCATTCCTTGTCTCTCACCACCCACACTACAGTCTTTAACTTCTCTGTCCCTTACCAAATGACAGATTGTAATGCTGAGCCTGTTGGCAATAGAAAACCTTGACTGTATTCTGCTATGCCCTGAACATGCCAGATATAAGATTCAGGTTCCTTTCAAATGTTTAATCACAGAAGCTCTCACAATTCCTGCTAACTATGCAGCCAGGAAACACATGTCCATGGCTTTTGAGGTTATTGGTTGCCTACATCTAGCACTTATGAACAAATAAAAGATGTATCCAAAGGAAGTTCCTTGACTTCCTTTGGTCCAAAGCTCCATTACAAATCTCACAAACCAGAACTATCTAGATCAGGGGTCTCCAACCCCCAGGCAGCAGCCCGGTACCCAGTTCGGAACTGGGCTGCGCAAGTGGTGAATGCACGTGTGCAAACCTTCATTTGCACAAGTGGCAGGTGCATGTGCCTGCCGCTTGCGCAAATGTAGGTGTTCGTGCACACTCATGGCATTTGCACAGAACCATTCCCTCTCCCCCCCCCCACCTCACTGGTCCACCAAACTGGAAAGGTTGGGGAATGCTGATCTAAATGAATGATCCAGTGACTGAAGGTTTTACCCGGAACAGTATAATCACTGTTAATCTTTAGCTGTGATTGCCAGTAAACTCTTCTATTACTTCATACCTCTGCCACTAGGTTATCATGTTGAGAAGAGATGAAGCACAGGGGTCTCATGTGCCAAACCAGCTTCTACTAGCGGACTTCCAATGACTGCTAATCAACCAAAATCATTATTCCTCACAATTTCCAGTGATTTCTACTGATATGTCTGTGAGCTCTTTCAACAACCCCCATGACAGGCCAACCAGCAGCACTCAGACCTCTTGACAGGAGCTATCTGTCCCTTTCCAGGAACTCTTCTGCTTCAGACAGAAAAAAGAAGGCTATCAGAAAGACAGAAAATACCATCACTTGTAGCTCTCCCCCAGATCCATTTTCCTTCCTCTTTGGTTCATATATGTCACCCCCAGCAAAACAGCCCTGGGGAAATGCAGTCTTCAACAGAGGAGGGGCTGCCCCCCCAGCTAAGGATTCAATTCAGTCTTTTCAGAAGAACCACCCCAAAACACTTGAAAGTGGGGGGGGACTTCTTTCCCCCTTTTAACATAACCATCCCAGTTGAAAGTCAATAAGCAAAGAGCTATTTTCTGTTGCTTGGTTTCTCTCCCCACCACCACCACCGCCGCCTTCCACATCTGACTCATGGATGTATGCCTTCCTCATGCTTTTTACAAGACTGACGTCGCGTTTATTTTTCACCTTAGAGGTGAGCTGGCATCACTGCACCCAAGAGCAGCAGTACCAGCAGCCGCCCGTAACTCAAGATCCAGGACGCCGAATTGACTAAAAACTGACTCCCTGCCATTGAAAGCACCCCTTATAGCAGGCCCGGCACGGAGGCAGCATCGAACAGGTAATCGGAACCTCAGGCACGTGGGAAAGGATTGGGGAACGGGGGTTTTTCTTCCCTCTCCTAAAAGTGGCGGGCGGCTCTACCTCGGGAGCCGGATTCCCAGGTTTGAAGTCTCCCCCTTCCCGGTTCCGGATTTATTAGAAGCGGCGGTGCGGATACACTCGCGGGTTAACCCTCGACAAAGGGCGCAGTGTCTTGACGTTCGATGCCCCCCGCCCGCCCCTCATGAGATCCCTAGAAGAGCAGCGGTCAAGCCTCAACCATCGCCTGTCCCTAGGAAAGGCATATTGCACGGCGAATAAGCGGCCCAGGCTCCTTCCCGCTCAGCCCTCCGGATGCCTTTGTCTGCTGTTCCAGATGGACGGAGGTGGCGGAGAAGCTACCGAGTCCCGTCCAGCCCGGATCCCTCCTCCTTTCCTTCCCCCCCCCCCATCTCGCCCAGTACCGATGGTAGAGATGTGCGAAGGGTGGAACTCGTTGTCAGTGAAGCGGCACAACAAGCAGGTCTTGCCCACGCCGGAGTCCCCGATGAGCAGCAGGCGAAAGAGCACGTCGTATTGCTTGGCCATGGCGGGGGGGGGGGCCGGTCGGGCTTCAGCCCCGCGCTGCGCCGGCTGCCATCCCAGCCCGAACGCCTTCCGCTCCCGGCGTCTCTTGGTCTGGGGTGGCGGTAAGCCCCAGAGGCGAACGGGCAGGCGGGAAAGCTGGCGCTGCAGGAAGGGGGAGGGGGGAAGAGAGGAGGCGAGAGAACGCGAGCAATAGCGCCTCTTCGATCACTTCGATCCGCTAAGGAGGAAATCCAAAGAATGGGGGGGGGGGAATTGGAGGCGCCGCCGGCAGAAAAATCGCCTCTCCTCCAAGCGCGGCTGGCAGGGAGGAGTGGAAAGCGCTACAGCAATTGCTGCTCCTATTGGAGAGTGGGGGGGGTGGGTGACACAAGAACCCACGCAGGGAGCTCTTCGGGCGCGCGGAACCGAGACGCGCCCCCCCCTCCCGCGCCCCCGGCTTCGAGATCCGGCTATTTGCCCCGCGTGCTGACGACCGGCGAAAAAGGCGGGGAACGAAGGGAGGCGGAGGCTTTGAACGTTCAACGGGGCGGAGTTTTATGCTGCCGGCTGCCTCAAATTGCCGGAGAATGGCGAGGAAGGGTAACGGTGGATGTATTAGAAAGGTGCTATTTTCAAAAGGCAATGGGGCTAAATATTTTTTTTTTCCCTTTGAGGAAGAAGAAGACGTTTCGCTTCTCATACAAGAAGCTTCACCAGTTCTGGCCGGATGGGGAGTGGGGACAAAAGTGGTACTATGTGTAGTGACCACCATTATCTCAGTCAACTTATGCAGTTGTAGTCAAACCACAGTTTAGCCCGGTGTTTCTCAACCTTGACAATTTTAAGGCATGTGGACTTCAACTCCCAGAATTCCACAGCCAGCATTGCTGGCTGTGGAATTCTGGGAGTTGAAGTCCACATGCCTTAAAATTGTCAAGGTTGAGAAACACGGGAGCCTGTTGGGCAAAACGGAACTTTTTAGAAAAAGGAAAAGTGCTAAGCAAGTACTTAAAAACTGTGCTAAGCAGGGTTTGGAGGCTGTGTGTGTGTGTGTGTGGTTTTTTTTTTTTGCTAGAAGGCTAAGACTTTGCTTGAAATTCATTAACTTGGCCATTGTTGGAAATATAAACTTACATTCGGTAGACTCAATTCGGTTTAATAGGTTACGATTATATTTTCTTCGCAGCAAGTGCTGAAGAATAGTTGTTCAAAACATTGGGGATTGGTATTAATACTCTTGACATATTAATTTCAGATAATGTCAATGGGGATTTGTCCTTGATTTAAAACTGGTTATCGGAACATACTATAATGCAGCACACTAGCGCTCTGCTGTTTCTGATAGTGTAATAACCACCCTTAGAACAACTGTAGTTTTTTATATATGGCCATAAACTTTATAGTTAGGCACATGCAATTATAGGATTATATCTTGATGTAATGGCAAAGTGTTGGATTGAGAAATTGATTGGGTTCATGACCTGCTTAACTATGATTGACTGGATAAACCAAAATTAGCTGGGTTCACACAACATGCTAAGGCAAAGTCAAACCATGTTATTACTTGGTGTGATATATGAAGTTAGCCAATATCTCTCAGTCTACTTCATCTGGTTATTTTGAAATAATTACAGTATAAAAGGAAAAAGGACTGGGAGAGACAAACTTGCTGTCTTGAGCTTCTGGAAGACTGGCAGGATGTAAATGTACTAAGTATATAAAATATAGGAAAAATATATATTTAACGATGAATTATATATAAGACCTCAAGTGGTGGCACCTAAAACTACCTAGCTGGTTTTATTATGTCAAGCTTTCCTTAGGCATTTTGTCAGAGTAGAGAGCAACTAAATTTAGGTGTCAATATAATACAGCATTCAGTGATGTAGTTAAGGAAGTTCCATCTTGAGATTTCATAGATTTTTGCCTTTCCTTTTCTAGAAAGTAGCCTTAATTACTTCCCTTCAGATTTATTTATTTATTCTCCTCTTTAGAAAAACAGGTGCATATGCTGCTCTCCTTACAACAAATGTGGAGCAATTTACATTCTTAATTCTAGTAACAGGATTGAAAGAATATACAATCAGATAGTACAGGTTGTCAATTTACAACCATTCATTTAATGACAATTTGAAATTATAATGGCACTGAAAAAAGTGGCTTATGACCATTTTTCACAGTTACAACCATTTCAACATCCCTGTGGCCAAGTGATTGAAAAGATACTTGTTAACTACCATGTATTTATTACTTTTGCAATGTCCTGGCATCATGAGATCACATTTTGCAACCTTATGACAAACAATGTCAATGGGAAAGCCAGATTCTCTTAACCATATTGCTAACTTAACAGTTGCAATACTTCACCTAACCATGGCAAGAAAGGAACTTAACAAATGTCTTGCTTAGCACAATTTTGACTGTCTTGCTTAGCACAACTTACAACTATGGTTGTAAGTTGAGTACAAGTATAACAAATTGCTTCTCACCCAAATACCAAAATAAAATCCAAATAAAAATAATTCTCTTCTTACAGGAAGAAAACAGCACAGCAGATCCTAAAACTTCCCTGAAAAAGCCATATTTTAACATTTTTTGAAAGGCCAAATGGTTTGGGGCCAACTTGAATTTGGGGAGAATGTTGTTCCAGAGAAAATGGTAGTGGCGGGGATGACCAACCCTTGTGGTCCCTGCAGACGACGTTGCTTGGGTATAGGGAGATTTTTCTTCAAAAATAAATGGTCCCACAGATACGAATATTCTCCTTTATTAATACTTTTTTAAAATTAAGATTCTGTAACACTTAGCAAATCTAATACATTTTTCTGTTTATCATAGAGCAAGGTGAACATTAGACCCATAATTCTCAGTCCCAAAAGTGTTTTTTTTTTCCAAAAATTCCAAAGGCAGCTTTTTTCAAAAGGCAACTGAATTTTGTTTTTTTCTCTTGAAGATGTTTTGCTTCTCAGTATATATTTTATAAGCATAAGAGCTATAAGTTAAATGCCACATAAGTAAATCTACATATTAGCAATGTACAATGCAAACAACTAAGCACTGTTGCAATCCTTAAATAAGGATAGATGATTGAGTATGCAGTTAGGGTCTACAGTTTGCACAGTATAATTCTGGGGAATTATATTGTGAAATAAACTCCTTTGAAATGTTGCTTATTTATAACTAAGCATGCTTATACTGTAAATCAAAATAATTAGAAGAGGATCAGTGTAAGGACTTCCATTCTGGATAGGAAACTCCTTAATCACACACACATATACTCCTCCTCTAAATCTAACTAACTTGTGTTGTTGCTATGGTAAATTTCTATGATAGCAATCTCACTTCCATTACAAACAGGAGCATGCTGTGAGATGCTCAGTGTATCTAACCTTATGTATCTTCTGGGTCATCATTTAACATGGTTTCTGCATCAGCACAGAGAAAATGTAGAGAGAACCAGTTCATTGTGATTCATAGGCTGCTGAACAAGACACCTCGTTCTTACAAGGCTATTTTGTTATTTCTGAATGACACATCTCAGATTGATAAAGAGGAATCAGAGTGGGTAAAAATTATATGTTTGTACTTTGAGATATCCAGAAATCTCAACCTGTATTAAGAGGATCTATTTGATATGATGCAGTGAAACTTGAATTTAGCTTTTTTTTCTTGCTTATGTGGAAATTCAAGATCATTTGAGTTACTTGTTGAAAAGGGGTATAGTAGTAACATTTAACATCTGAATGCTCCCATCTGACACTGCTAAATAAATCCACACATAAACCCTAAAACAGCTTTCACTGTTTTCCAAATATCAATACTTCTCATTTCCTAGTCAAATCGTCATCTTTGTGGAAAGATGTACTGTACTAAACTGAAATAAATCACAATTCTGATTTACTTTCTATATAATTTCCTCAGTTTGTAGACTATCTAACTGTAGGCTCAGTATTATCTATTGCCAAATCCCTATAAATTTTAAAATTATACATGAAAACACTAATAATTCTGAGGTTAGCATTGGTGAAAATACCTTATTTGGATTTTGAAAAACCAATCCAATTTTGCCAAATGATGTTAGAGTTAAAATTAAATGTGATAAAAATCATCCTATGATCGGTTTGCATATCCCATTCACATATAATGGATGGATATGTATAACTTTTTTCATACTGAATAAGGTAAGGAGAATTTCGACTTATCAATATGTCACAGTAAGGTAGTCATGAAGTCTTCTGCAGCAAAAATTAGTCATGTGATAACATCTTACAAATTTATTATCACACTCCACATATCTCTGATCCCTTGGGTCGTCATTTCAGAGATAGTTCCTTACCAGATTCCTTAATGTCTTCAACAATGGCAAAGCTTCTAATGTACAGTACTTGAAAAGTTCTCAAATATTCATGGAGATATTCAGAGTTGTATCTATCTTGAAAATAGCCCATCTTAACTGTATAGCATAGTCAAACATCTGGAGTTGATCACAGGAAATATTTTATGACATTTATATTATGTCATTAAATGCTTTATGATAATTTTATGTTATATAAACATTTTACAAAATTTGCCAAATTTCAATTTCACGGGATTCATGGGTCCCTGGTTTTTGGATGAATTCTGTAAGTTAGGCACTTTGAGGTTCCAGTGTTCAAAAGGTTTTGCCCTTTGAGGCACCATTTTGCCCAATTAAAAGTTGTAAAAAATTACATAGGTGTGATTATGAAATCAGTGGCTATGGCAACATTTTATTGACTTTTCTGGATTTAGAAGATAAAAATTTAAAAAACCCAAGTCACTTTGGTTAGCAAGATAAATGGCATATAAATTTAATAATAAATAAAAAAAATTCAAAAAGAGTTGGGCCTGGTTAGCATTTGGTTAGGATACTAGTACTTGGCTAGGTTAAAACATTAGCACTGTAGCTAAAATTAAAGTGAAAATGTCTCCAAAATCATCTGTGGTAAAGCTCTTCTGTTCAGTTGCCAAGAAAACTAACTGGATTTATTCATGAAGTGATCAGAGGTTGAGTGCAACTTGGACACTTTATACCACACAGAGAATATGTTTAGTGGTCACTAAAAACTAGCAATTAGATGTACAAACTATCACATCTACATATTATCAATATGTAATAAATGTTTCTCTTTGTTTAATCTTTGATAAATGATGAATTTTAGTTTAAATATTTCTTGATAAAACTCACCTTTGTAATTGTTTTTTCAAAGTTAGGCACATTAAAGTCGGTGTCCTGGGGAGGTGAAATGTTTACTCACTGCTTATAAGATACTGGTTTCTCTGATGTCAGATTTGTGTAAGAAGTAGCAATTTTGTCAAATGTCAAATGCAATGACATTTGAGCACAAAGATAATATTGAAGGATGAGCAAATACACTATTCTGTAATATTATAGTGAAAACCTTAGGTCTTGTAATAGTGTTGCCAGATCACATTTCATTTCTAAATGTGACTGGGACTGGCATCTGCCACATGTCTTCTTCAGTGAAAATAGTTTATTTGGCTTCTCTGGAATTGTCTTCTTCTCTCTCGTTCTTTTGTTCTCTCTCCCTCTCTCGTTCTTTTGTTCTCTCTCCCTCTCTCTTTCTTTTGTTCTCTTGTTCATTTAGCACTCCCACATTGTTGTGTTGTGTTTTGGATCTTCCATAATTGCTTTCCAGCTCCAAATGTATTTTATGTTGGTTTTTAATGCTATTAGTGCCATACTCCCCAGCATCTGTCCATCCATCCTTTCTCTGGTATTTCTTATTGATTAAATTTTTTTTGGGGGGGGAAACAAAAAAAATGAACAGTATACACATTAAAACTCAACAAATAAGCAAGCTTGCTCACCCTGATAACAGGTAAGCAGTTATCTGCCATAGTATACATGAGCATAATCTATGTTTGTTGGACTATGTTTCCTTTCCTCCCTTATGTGTGGGAATAACAGGAATTAAAGTCCAACATATCTGGAAAATACCAGGTGGATGGAAGCAATCATAATATACCAAGGATAATATTAGTGTCAATACATTTTAGTCCCTGTAAAATCAGACATATAAAATGCATTTCTTATAACTGTGATAAAATTATATTTCTATCAGTTTTGACATATCACTGGAACTCTGTTGCTTCCTTATCTGTATCAAACAAGGTTACCCTATTCTGAAAAAAAAGTCCATCTATATGAAACCGTCCCTTGTTCCCATCATGCCTAAAGACAGGGAACAAGGTGAGCTTTAAAGAGCTACAAAACTGGAATTTTACAACTGGAACAAGTGGATTTCTTCCCATGTGCCACCTGTTTATGCCAGGAAGAAAATGTATCACAAAACAGCCTGCTTAAATGTTTATAGAAGGCCTAATCTACTGAGCATAATAACTGTGCCAACAAAAGCATGTTAAACAACAATTAAATCCTAAGTAATTTGGTTTTTCTTCTTCCTTCTAATATAAATCAGCCTGTGCAAAGGGAACAAATACTCTTCTAATCAAGCTAATAAATGGACTTATACTTTATATTTATACAATACAGCTTAACCATAATTTGCTTCACTACGATTTTATGGATAAACAAATATTTTCTTGGTTCACACAACACACATAAACTATGGGTTATATGCTATGTTGGCATAAAGTATATGCATTTTGCATCATACTCAATTAGATTTAACTGGGTTATTGAATAAAATATAATTGGCTGGATTTGCTCAGCACATAAAACCAAAATGAAATATAATAAAGGTTAGCGTACTGTGTGAAGTTAAGCACGCTAAGCTATAATATGGTTTATGTGATGTAAGCCAATGTGGCTTAGTCGGGAAACCAAGCCTATCCAACATTCTACATTTGTAGATCTATACCTTTTTTCATCTAGCAAAACCCCCCACAGTACAGGTCATAAGAAAGGAAGAATTTCGATCCGGGCCACGCAGCCCAGTGAGGTAGTTTATATTGTGTCTAACCCAGGGGTAAGCAACCTTGGCTCTTTTATGACTCGTGGAGCCATGCTGGCTCAGGAATTCTGGGAGTTGAAGTCCACGAGTCATAAAAGAGCCAAGGTTGCCTACCCCTGCTCTAACTTAATATTTGGACCCCACTTGAGTGGAGAGATCAAACCACACGCCACGTGAGGTCGATAACGAGCCATAGCTATTCCACAAGCGCCTGAAAGCAAAGTCAGCAAAACTAAAGCATAGCTGCGCGTTGAGACCATTGTCCTCTCCGAGCTACCGTAGCTGGGTTTTTTAGCCCGTTGCCTCTCGGTCGGATTCGGGCAACCGGAATTGTGGGTGCGGATTGAGCGCTTTTCTAAGAGCATGGCGGCGGAGGCGGCGGCAGGAGCTTCCACCCACCACGGCGGCGCCGAGAGAAGGCGCCATCAGTGTGGCGGTAGCGGGGACGCGTATCGAGAGCGGCTGGACGATGACGGAGTTCGGACCCTCACTTCGGCGGAGCAGGTGGGACTGGACACCGCCCCCGCTTCTCTTGCAGTGAGACTACAACTCCCAGGGTGCTTTGTGTGCGGCTTCGGGGAACCGGTTGGCTTGATCGGAGTAGAGCAGCATGCCGCGGGGCGATTTCCTCGCGGCGTCTCAGAACTATCAGTGCTGCGGGGCGCGTCTTTGGATTTACCCTCCGTTGACCGTGCGAGTTCATTGCTGGTAGCCTATTGCATAGGGAAGTTCATGCCAGGTGCCAGGTGTAGTTTCTAAAGGCTCATCCAATGTTTTCTCCGACTGGGTTTGCCTGGGGAGGTACTGGGCGGTACCAGACACTTGAAACATAGTGGACTGATTTATGGTTCATCATGTTACGAATTTACCTATAATGGTAATTGTCCAGTGGGTTCTGAAAACCCGGTTAATTCAGTAAAACAGTAAATGTGTTGGGTGAGCACATCCCCTATATTTGATTTCCTTGTTTTCTTCCCTAGAAAATCAGTTTATAAGATCCAGAAAGCTGTTTTGTCGAGAAACTGCGGGAAACATTTTGGTGGAAATAAATGGTTAATGCTAAATGTTGTAAATTCACACACACGCACTACACATTGATGTTTTCTGCATCTTCTCAAATTTGCTGTACTTTTTGGATAACTATGTTAGTTTGTTACAATAGAAACATCAAATAATACATTGTTTATGCCTTCAGTTTATGCGGACCTACCACTCATAAGGTACAGAATGCATTCATTTCCTTGAGATAAGAATACCCAATCACATAGAGCAGCATTAGAGGCAGATGTAAATAGTCACAAGGAGAGAGCAGAATGAAATGTGGAAAGTACAGATAGTGGTCATTCAGAAGCATTGGATAAAAATTTTGCATTTCATTCAAGTCCCTCCTTTAATGACCTTTTCTCCATTCCTGCAGTTATGCCACAGATGCTTTTATTTGAAGATGTTGCAAAAAAGAGAACTTATTTAGAACATTTTAAATGTAAAGGGAGATTAGCAAAGCTTGAAAATCCCTGGAGTCTAAATACTAACTTCTTCCATAAGTTTCACAAACTATTTCTTAATTGTCAAAACAAGACTATTTTGATAAAGAAGGGAAGGAAAATCATGTCACTTCACACATCAGGTTATAAAACATCTTATTTGTTAAGCAGCTATTTCTACCAGTACCTAATTACCGTGGCAGTGTCTTTCCAACCCGTCCCATAATAAGTAGTAGGTCTAATTGGCTGTCAGTATTTCTATGAATTTAGTTTAAGATATTTGATACCAGGGTTAAACAACCCACATAAAGAAACTGTCTCTGTATTCCTAGCTAGGAACTTTGGGGGAACATTCAGGGAAGATAAGAGTTGTAGAGGTGATACAAGTAACTAATACAAAGGCATTCCTGTTACTTGGTGTACATGTTGAACTATGCCTTAGACTTTTAAGTTGGGGTAAATGGATTGGAAACGTAGTAAATGATTAAAAGGAAATAGATTCAAAGTGTGGAAGTTCAGTTTACTTACTGCACCTGATAATTAGAGGTCATTGAGAGGAAGATAATAGCATGAAATTTGGTTATCAGCAAGTTATAAACTCTATAACTATTCTAGGTCTCCGAATTGTAAGAACTTAACCATATGTTTTAAATATGTGTATTTAAGTAATGGGCAAAATTTAAATCCAGCATTATCTGCACCTTAATTCTTTTCCAGGAATGGAAGATACTCCTAAGAGTTACATCCTTTTAAAAACTATTACTATGTTAGGAGACTCTGTTGCTTGCCTTTTCTTAAAGATAACATAACTGCTTCATAGTAGTTACATAAATAAATCAGTGCAAAAAGAATCCTTTTGATGTGTTTTAAGCATAAAAGATTTATTGTGTTGTATACTGTACTTTTGTAGCCCACAAAAGCTTTTATAACACAATAAGTCTATTGATCTTACAAGATTCTTTGTGCACTTGTTATAACAGATCAGCATAGCTGTCCTTCTAGATTAGTCTGTTCCAGAAAATAAATAAAACATCTTAAACAACAGTGTCTTGTGAAACCTTACAAATGAACCACTTTATTATCAAAAGCTTTAACAGGTCATAGACCATCTCATTAGATATATGAAATATAATCATGGGAACGAAGTATTTTGCATACAAATACACTTAATTTTGCTATCGTGCATATATACTACACATACTGTTTTAAAAGGTAACTGATAGAAATTTAGAATGGGCAAAAGATTCTAATTTATTTTCAACTATATTAATGTCCTTTAGTATAGGACATTAATAGAATAGTATACACTATTCCATGTTCAGAGTATCTTTTAGGTAATAAAATCTAATTTGGTGGTGATATTATAATAGCTTGTTCCTGAAGACTTTTCAAGCTTGAGAATGAAGGGAATTGGAAGTTAAAATTAGAGCACTTATGCTTGGCATATATGAGCTCTCATTCATTTGTGGAATTAAGCAGGGGCAGGAAAGGTATATAACATCTAGACTGTGCTGCTCTTTGGTGCTGATTAGTAAGCTTAGCTCTCACCATCCTAGTACCAACAAATTCTTTGGAACTGCAAATCAGGGAAATGTAATTCTTGCACACCTAAGAAGCACCAGACTGAGGGCAAACGTATGCTGGACAGATAGGTAAATGGGCTCATGCTTTTTAAGACTATGTTAAAAACCTGAGTTGGTAGATCTGAGTCCTAATATTATTTCTGTATTAATCCCAAAGGAAGCAGAAGTCCTTAAATTTAAGATGATTCTCCCCATGAAAAAAAGAAAAGATTAGAGAGCAGAAATTGTCTGGTTACTGTATTTTTTTTGCAAATTTAAATTTATTCTGCTGTTTAAAAGATGCACAATCTCAACCCTGGAATCTGCATTCATAGAGAAATTTGAAGCAGCCAAGCATCTTTCTTAAATCCCTGAAGAGAAACATGTTTAAGTCAGGATACACATAGCTGTCAAAACAATTCTGTATTATCCAGTATGTTTGGATTTCATGGCCTACAGCTGAGTTTTGTTGCACATGTTGCCCTTCTCTAGAGGCCAGAATGACAATTGGATTTGAGATTTGTTGCTAGAAGCCTGAGATATCTCTGAGGTAGAATCACTGTCATCATTCCAGGAGATCATTCCATGAAAGAAGAGAATATTTTTTTAAAAAAAAATTAAGGCAAGAAATTACTACAAGGCAAACCTGTAGAGAAATGCAAACAGAGCATTTGTTTAATTGGACACAATTAAAACCAGTTGTAGAATGCAATTTGAGCTTTCCCAGAAGGTATATATTGCTTGAACTGGCAGCAGACACTCACAAATATTTTTGTTGGTTTTGGCTAACCTGTGTTTGGGAAAGCAAGGCTGGCTATTATTTTAAGCAATGAAAATTGGGATGCGCATATCCCTGTATGGCTTTTGTGTGCCCTAATTGTGAAGTCTTTCATAATCTATACCAGACATGTCAAACACAAGGCCTGGGGGCCAGATGCGGCCCGCGAAGTGGTTTCATGTGGCCCGTGAAGCCATCCTGGAAACAGTGAGGGAACGGCCCCCTCTGCCTTGGCCCTGGCCCAGGCCAGCCGGGAACCAATGTACAATTTTCTGGTGGCCATCTATGCTGAAACGCATTCAGTCTTAGCTCCATAAGCCCCCCCCCCGCATGGCCTGAGAGGAACAGTGAGGCTCCTCCAGTGGACCATGCCTTGGCACTTGCCCTGGTCCCACCCCCTTCTGCCAGAGACCCTCAGATCTGTCCCACTTCTGCCCAGGCCCCCACAGGCACCCTTGACGCGAACGATGTAGAGCTGGTCACACCCACCCAGTAGGCCACACCCACTCCATCCACACCCACCTAGTAGGCCGCACCCACCCTGGCCACACCCACCCGGCCCCAAGGGCAACTGCAATGCTGATGCGGCCCTCAAGGAAATTGAGTTTGACACCCCTGATCTATACCATCCAAGTTTTGAATGGCATGTTTTCTCTCCCGTCCATTTACCATTTCTCTACTCAGGTCAGTCAGTGCAGTAAGGAACAACTTGATGAACAGGAGGAAGAGCTGCAATTAAGACAATGGTCAGATAAAAGAAATCTGTGTCCAGGGCAGAAATGTAATTTGAGAAAGTGTCTCAGACATGTTCCTCCCAAATTCTCACAAAGACAAGGGGGTGTGGTGGGGGAATGGGATGCATTCAGACTTGCAAGGTTCTGTTATTATCAACTTATGGTAAAAGTAGTAATAGCTATTGTGTCTTTGGTTTCTCAGTTTGGTTTACTTTGGAGGGTTGACATCGAGTTTCCCCGGCTCTGTTTCTCTACTCCATGTTACACATCTCAGAGAGCTTAGGTCCCAATGTCCAACAGTTTTTTTTATTACAAGCTTCATAGGTGTTTTTTTAACCATTCACTAAGAACTAGAATTACAGAATTTTTGAAGAATTCTGGAGCCTTGTAATAGAATATAAATAACTTGCCTCCTTGATTGCTCATCTCATTTCCTCTTTTAGGCTCTAGATCAGGGTGTCAAACTCGCAACATCACATGACGTGTCGCAACGTATCGTGACTTTTTTGCCATTGCCGGCAATGGGGTGGGCGCAGTGGTGTCAAACTGCCGGCCCACATAAAAAATTCTGTGCTAATTTTATTGCTTTCTTTTTCCATGGTTTCTGTGAATCTTCTTTGTCCCCTTGGCATGCTGCAGACAAAAGTGGAGGATATTGTTCAAGAGGTTTTTGATGTTTACAAGAGAAATCATCATGACACCCAGTAAGTTATTGTACTCATGTTCTTTTTCTTCTGTATGCAGTTTAAAAAAACAAAACTAAACTGTAAGGGATTTTGGGTCCTGAATTGTGCTGGCTTGCTTATCCGTTTAGAACTTTAGAGGGATTTGTTCCTTTCATAGCAATTTCCTGCACTTACTTTCATACCTGCAGGTTATCTCCCAACCCTACAAAGGCCCTTGTGGAGGAAGATGCAAGTGGGGGCAATCATGGGGCAGATGGGAAAGGTTTTTAATGTTTGCTTATCTAAATATTCAATCATATATAAGTGTATGCAGCTTTAATGCCCACTTGTGGAATATTGTATGGCGTTCCATTCATTAAATCTTAGAGAAATATCATGAAGTCATCCCTGTTGTTTTTGTGTTGGATAACAGTCTGCTGTTCTGAATGGGAGCTTTTCTTTCAATGCAAATAACAGAGGGGAGGGGAGGAAATTCCACTCCATAGCTTTCCCATCTTTTCCACTGCTGTTTCTTATACTTTTAAAACCTTTACATAGTTAAGAATTGTGGCTTAGCCCTCCCTCCCCATCCCCGCCCCCCCAGAAACAGACACAATAAAAAGCTTATGATATCATGCACTTCACTGACTTTTTTGGGGGGGGGGGTCATTGGGGGGGGGTTTACACATGTATGTACTTTTCTTGGTCTTTATATTATTATTTGAAATGTTCGCTCTGTAGGAATCTGCTTTCTAGAAGACCTTTGCCTGAGCCACAGTATTACTTTGACCCATCTTTCAGTGACCTGCCAATTACATTCATGTGTCTCTTTCAATCGCACACGGTGCATTCATAAAGTATTCAGACCCTCTTCACTTTTGTCAATGTTGTGCTGCAGCCTGATTTTACAGTTGTTGAAATTCATTTTTTTCTCATTAATCTACACTCAGTACCCCATAATGACAAAGTGAACACAGAATTTTAGAAATGTCTTTAAATTTAACCGTGTTTCCATTGACACTCAAGAGACAAAAGCTATAGCACAGCAAGCCACACTGGAAAGTAGCACGAAATAACCTCTTAACTATAGTGCTGTTGTGATTAGGTGGTGTGGCCAAATGGATAGACCCATCAGTTTAGGCCTTTTTCAGGTGCATGTTACTTACAGTACTCTGGGCCACAATGGTTGTTATTTTAGATACGTTTTGAAGGAGTAATAGACAAATGTCAGTAGATTCATGCTAGAGTAACTGTGACTGGAGCTTTTATGTTCAGTGCCCCTCACTTGAGATACTAAGAAGGTAGCTACTAGCTCCACACAACTCCTAAGCTTTCAGGAATAACAAATGCTGTTAGAGATTAAGATGGAGTTGCACAGCCTTCATGCTGCATGGCAAACGTGTTTTATTGTTTGTGTTATATCTTGGGAATTGCTTTTCAAAAGAAAGGGGAAAAAACACTAGAATGGGCTGATAGCAAAGACCTCTGTGCATCTAATAGAGGTCAGGAGAGTGATATCTGCAGTATGTATGTATGTATCTATGTATATACCGTGTTTCCTCAAAAATAAGAAATGGTCTTATATTTTTTTTGCCTCCAAAAGAAGAATAGGTCTTACTTTTGGGGGATGTCTTATTTTTTTCCTGACTCCTGCCTCGCCTTGCCGCATCAACAGCCCCATCCTGTAGGAGCCCGAGTGGCCACTGGCCCATTTCTGTAGCCGCTCGTGGCAGGAGGCCACATAGCCCACTGTGCCGTGCCACCGCTACGAAGCAAGGCGACGGGGAGGGGATGGAGCTGCCCCAAGCGCCTCATAGGTGTCCAAACATTTTTCGCCCAGAGGGAGACTAAGCTTCATCTGCTTGCAAATGGAGCAGTTGGAAACTGAGGGATTCGCTCCGTTTCCAACCAACCCATTTGCAAGCCAACAAAGCTTCCAGTCTCAGTCATTTTTTCGTCTGGGCAACAAGTGTTTGGGCACCTATGGGCGCTTGGAAACCAAGTGATTCGCTCCATTTTCAAACGTCCCATAGGCGCCCAAACACTTTTCGCCCAGACAGAGAAATGATGGAGACTGGAAACTGGGGCGGTTGGAAATGGAGTGAATCCCTTGGTTTCCAACCGCCCCATTTGCAAGCAGACGAAGCTTCTAGTCTCCCTCTGGACAAAAAGTGTGTGGTGTGTCCGGATCGCCTGCCTCCGCCCTCATCTCTGCCTCCGGACTGGACTTACCTGTGCTGTTCCAGTGGGCTGCGGCTGCTGCCAGACATCATCGCTCCCTGCACGCTCGCCGCCACTTGTGCTGGCTGCACCCACCTCCCCGGGCTTATTTTGGGGCTAGGGCTTATATTAGGCCCACCCCAAAAAATCAAGCTAAGACGTATTTTAGGGGTGGGCCTTATTTTCAGGGAAACACAGTATATATATATATGTCCTGTATGTATTATTAAATTTGTATGCCACCCGTTTTACTGTCTAGTGACCCTGGGTGATTTACAACATAAAAACACCACTAATTGCCCCAAGCCAATTGGCAGAGCCAGGTTTTTAGGCCCTTTTTGAAGGCCAAGTGGGTGGGGCCAGATCTCATCTTATCTCAAGGGGCACTTTGAAGGCATGAGCCATAGCAGAAAAGGCTCTTCTCCTGGACCCAGCCACCCAGTTCCTTCTGCCGGGGAGTGGGGGGTGGGGGGCAATTCCATTGGGACTAGACAGTTCCTCAGGTAGCCTAAACCCATGCCATCATAGGCTTTAAAGGTAATAACTAATACTTTGGATTGAACCCAAAACCAATCGGTAACCAGTGCAGCTCATGCAAAAGCAGTGTTACATGGGCCACTCTAGAAGCCCCTAAAACTTCCACACAGTTGCATTCTTTGCCAGCTATAGCTTCTGAATATTCTTCAAGGATAGTCCCATGTAGAATTCATTGCAGTAGTCCAAATGCGAGATGACCAGGGAATAAGTAAATGTATTTAACTGGCTGCCATTTCAATTTTAAGATACCAAAACTATGCTTGTAAATGTGCTTGTAATAACCTGAAAAGACTGCTTATTTCTGGTCTGAGCAGAGATTTGGATGCTGAGCAGAATGCTCATTATATGGATCTTGGTTTGATCTAACATAGCATTAAGTGTATTGTGAGGGCATTTGCACATAATGACAAGCCATATGGCTGTGACTGAATAGTGTAGTAGTATATGCTGTTCAGATCGGATCCCTTGGCTTCTTCCTCAAAAGAGTACAGTTAACAAACACGGATAACTATCACAACTTGCTCAGTGTGATGTATGAGGCAGAGGCCAGACTTATTCCAGTAAGAATAAGAACAGATTCTTGATTTAAATCCAAACTTGTTTTGCTTGTTCATAGGAATATTAAGTTACCTGTGTATTGGTAAGCCATAATTCATTTTGTGTGAGGTGGCCTGGCAGTTGCTGAAGGAGCACATCCATAAATACAAACATAGCACATTCCATATATTTCTGGAAAATACAGGTTATTCTTTTTTTTTAAATTAGTTGAATGACAAGCAAATCTGTTCATTGCTCAGATGGTACTCTATAAGTTTGCTAAACTATATGTTTCGATCAATCAATCAGGTATGTTTTGCAACAAGAAAAACATTTCCACTACTTGAAGAGAGGACTCAGGCAATTGACAGATGCCTATGAGGTAATTTCTGCAATTTGAACCAAATGTATGCTTTTTCCCTTATTTATTATGTTTCCAGTTTGTTGGTTTCTAATCACAGATTTGGCCATGGGCTATATTGTCCTTGGTGTTTTCCTTGTTCTTTTCTTCTGCCTTTACTATTTCTCAGTAACCTGAATATTAGGTGGGTTAGAACAGTGGTTCTCAATCTGTGGGTCGGGATCCCATTTGGGGTCGATCGACCATTTCACGGGGGTCGCCAAGCAAGGCTGTCCGCCATTTTTTTTGTCCGCCATTTTTTTCCCCTTTTCCGGCGGGTACCTTACCTCCCTTGGGCTGGGCCAGCTGGTGGTCGGCCTGCTCCGTCTCTGCCGCTTGCCAGCTACGCCTCGGCCGGTGCAGGGGGCGGAACCACGCATGTGCGGCGCTCCCGGGCAGGGAAAGTCCTCGACATACGACCGGTTGGGTAGTCCTCGACTTACGACCGGTTTAGTCCTCGACTTACGACCGGTTTAGTCCTCGACTTACGACCGGTTGGGGTCACGGCATTAAAAAGGTTGAGAACCACTGAGTTAGAAGAAGACAGATTTTCTGTTGGCTGGCCTTGTTCCCTGTTAGCTAGAGGACCTACTCCCTCTAAGATTCCAAGCTTTATTGCAGTTTAGGATTGTTGCTCCTAGAAAAACCATGGAATTCTAGGAATTACAGTCTCAGCACATCTGTAGAGCATCAGACTGAAGGGAACCTCCATGGATTAACATTTAACTATTTATAATTTCTGCTTTGTCTGGACAGTAATAAATAAAAGAGAGGTTACCACGAGGATACTGCTAAACAAATAATAATTTTTTTTAGTGCTGTTGAAATCCTAAGTTGAAGTTCTTTTGCCTTTTAGATGGGTTATTTGCTTTCAAGTACTTCTGTTCTGATTAATCTTCTACACAAAATTGTCCCTCATTTGAGGCAAATGTACTACTGCTTGTTCTGTGAGATTTGAACAGATGTAGCTTTCTTCTTTTGTAGTGTCTGGATGCCAGCCGCCCATGGCTGTGCTATTGGATCCTGCACAGCCTGGAGCTCTTGGGGGAACCAATCCCAGATTCAGTAGCATCAGAGTAAGTTTAGTTTCATCAGATGTACTCTTTCTTTAGTATTATGAGGACTTGTTAAGAAACTGCACATTGTACACTATGTGATATAGCAACAGAGGATATCTCTTCCTAGTTTGAAGATTGATTTCCTTAAAAGCTTCTAGTCCTTACTGAAGATTTAAAAAAATACTCCAGTTAACCTCTACTGAAGAAATCAAGAGAACTTTGACCAGGGCTTTGAATTTTGTGCTTCTATAATTCTATTTTCCAATAAGCTACTCAAAGTTACCTGAATTAAAATTAGAAAGAGTCTGGCGGCACTTTTTCTGATTAACTCATTGTATTAAAAGGCATAAGCTTTCATGAGCTGCAGTTCAGTTCATTAGATGGAAAGAATGATTAGACTAATGTAGGATTTTAATTGGGATGAGGTTTGGAGTGAAGAAGACAGAGTGATTATGCAGAAGCAGGATATATGTAAGACACATTACTGGTATCTTATCAATAAACAATTGTATTAAAGTTAAAACTCAGTTCACATAGAAGAAATAACTGATAAGTGTAATATGAAGTGGAGCTCTGTTCTACTACATTTAACATTTCTGTGGCCAAAAATGACTATAGAGATTGATATTCTGAAATCTTCATCAGCTAGGCAAAGCACCTGACTTTCTGAGTTAACATCCCATTATCCATGCATCATGTGTCCCAGATTATTTTGTAAAATACAGCAGTGCATTGTCTCATTCATTTTGCTTCAACAATAATGTCTTAAAATTTGTTCTTGAGTAGAAGCTTTTAGTACTTTTTTGATGGGCTTAGATAATGGTGGTAGCAAGAGCTGTTATGTAGAGGAAAGATGATGGGGAGAGCAGATTTGCAAGGTATAGGGAGAGGCACAACAAATACTATTTTTCCTCACAAGCAACTGTCAGATATACCACATTTCTGACAAAGAAAAGCTCTGCAGTTTGCAAGGAGAAAAGGAAGAAAAAACCTGAATCATTCTTTGGAGACATGTACTCATCTCTTATATTTTGTGTTGCTTTAAAAGTATTGCAGTCCTACAGACTACTTAACAAATATAGCAAAAATACAATTGTTATTATATTATACATTAAAGATTCCCTGCCTGAGATCCAAAGCAAGGAGGCAAGATTTTCTCATTTGACTGGTGGATTGTTCAGTCCACTTCATACAAATGGTAGAGCTTTCTTCTCTCTTTCACCTAGTCCTTCTCAAAATCTGCCTGGAGGGGTCCACCAATCATTTTCGACAGATTTTTGAGGGCCCTGGAGCTGTAGAGAGATGGCGGACATTTTCCCTCCCTCAGTGCTGCTCACATGTTCACTCCCATCACCAATAGAATCCTTTAGCAATATTGCATACTGTACCTAAAACCTTGATACTCGAGAAGACTGATAAGATCCATGAATTTAAAGGGTAAAGATGCTCTTGAGTTGATTTTGACTCCTGGAAACTATAATCACAGTTTCCTTGGCAGACTTATGGAAGTGGTTTCCCACTGCCTTCTCTGGGATGCATTTTTCAGTTTCTCAATCTTTCAGTAGCCCTGGAATTCCTAGGAAATTCCCCCCACCACCCACCTCCACTACAATTCAAGGTTAATTTGCTTAGTTTCATAGGTCAGCCATGTTTGACCAGCTACTGCAGCCTATCAAGGCTGTGGCTGCATTTGGTCAATAATTAAACTGGTTTAATATGATGAGAATGAATCATCTTAAGCTTTGGGCATATACCTCATCCCTCCTTCACTGGAATTGTTTTAAAATAACTGCAACTTGTGTGGTCTGGATCCTAAATTATGGTTAATTTTAATTTCATGAACTCTGCTAAGAAATTGGGTCTATTTTGACAAACTATAATTAAGGAAGTTTAATTTATAGGATTATTACTTGTTGAAACCTGATTAGATCACAGCAAGTGATAAAGTTGCTCTGAATAATTAAGAGAGAGAGAGTTCAAAAATCATATTTGACCAGAATGAAACCATAGTGGAAATCGTGTGGTTAGCTAAGTAATCTTGATGAGAGACAATCTTTGAGCAGATATTTTGGTTCTTGGATCTCTGTACATCTCTCCTGTAGGAGCTCAAGATAGTTCTTCTACATTTCTTTTCTCTGCTTTCCTCTTTCTGCAGATTTTTTCCCCTCCTGTGGAAGGCAAAAATTATATAGTCTGAAGAGAAACCAAAATGTTCCCCTCCTTATACACTTGGGGATCTTTACCTGCATTTGATTTTCAGGAGGATCCGTAAAGCAACCATAAGCTGCAGTGTCCAAGTGGTGTCTCAGTGGTGTTTTTTTGGGATTTGATACAATCAATTGAAAATAAAAGTCAGTGGAATATAGTGGCATGGGCATGATGTTAAAATTTGTGCTAGAATAAAAGTTCTGGATTTTTTTTCCTCATTTACCTTATGATGGAGATACTGTATATGACAGGAGGGAAACATCTGGAAAAGTCTTGAATAATAGCTGTTTTCAGAAATGGAGAGAGTTATAGCAAAACCGGACTATTAAGAAAACTTAGCATTTGCTGCTTGTTACGGATTAGCTTTGCTTTTGCTTTCCTTGGTGTGTAGTGTGTGCCAATTCCTGAGCCGCTGTCAGAGCCCAAACGGAGGCTTTGGAGGAGGACCAGGCCAACACCCACATCTTGCTCCAACGTATGCAGCTGTGAATGCACTGTGTATTATTGGCACTGAAGAGGCATACAATGTTATCAACAGGTAAAATCATAGCTCAGAAGGGGATCCAAGGGATTGTTAGTTCCATTCATGATACAAGATGCCTAAAGTATCCCTAAGAGATACTACTCTGCTCCCAGACTTCCATATTTCACTTAATGTCAGAGGAAATGACAACTGGTGAGCAAGCAAGAACTGTTTTTTCTGACAGACTTTGCCAACAGATACTCTTTGGCAACTAGAGCCCATCCCATTGCTTTCACTACTGTTGTTTACATTCCTTCCCGCCCTTTTTTGTATTAGACTAGTTGTAGCCTAAATTGGCTCTTGAGACTTATAGGTTATGATGAACAGTGGGAAACAAACAGAAAGCAGTGCCTCTCCACATGTTTTAGAATTATGTGGGTGAAGTCCCTACTGCAGGATGATGCAGCACAATCTAGCCTGGCCTGCTGTCTAATTGTATCATTCTGTTGTTTAATCTAAATCAATTGAGAGTCAAAAATGTTATCATTTTTCTCCAATTGCCAGAGAACTACTATCTGATACACTAAGTTCACTTTTCTTCTAAAAGAACAGCAGAACCCCCCGGATCTATGTGGTGCCATCATATGGCTGATCCGTCACTATTTATTTCTTCCACTGCCTTTGTACAATCTCCCCACAGTGGAGTTTGGGGAAATAATGATCAGTTCTATTGGTAGAGTATTTATTTACATGCACATTAAACAAACTTGTCAAGAACATGTTCATGTTAGGAACAGTTAATCTTCAAGGTATAACTCTGAGAAGATAACACATGGCACTGCTCAGAAAGGTATAAAATGATGCTCTTTAACACAGGTTGGAGAAAGGAAGAGAAATACCGATAGCCCTCAACTTATGACCACATTTGAGCCCAACATTTCCATTGCTAAGGAAGGCAGTTGTTAAGTGAGTTTTGCCCCATTTTACGATCTTTCTTGCCACAGTTACTAAGTGACTCACTGCAGTTGTTAAGTTAGCAACACAGTTAAGTGAATCTGGCTTTCCCATTGGCTTTGCTCATCAGAAGGTCGACCCCATGACCCTGGGATACTTCAACTGTCATAAATAGCCGCCATTTGCGAAGTGTCAATTTTTGATCACATGACCATGGGGATGCTGCAGTGGTCATAAGTATAAAAAAATGGTCATAAGTCCCTTCTTTTGTGTTGTTGTAATTTCAATCACTAGATGAGTGGTTGTAAGTTGGGGACTACCTGTAGCCATTTCTAGGATCACAGTTGGGCCCTAAAATAAATTAGCCTATGAGTTGTAAGGAGAGAAAATGTGTATGGAGTTAAATATGTAATCAGAGTTCTGAGATCATCCTCCGGGAATTCTACAGCGGTTGAGTACAGCATTTTCCTTACTGCACTAGCCAGTTGCTTTGAATTCCAGGAATAGGAGTCAGTTGAGTGTTATGTGGCTTGATTTGACCTTATGATGTTTCGTATGACGTCTGACCTGATTCAGTGCTCAGAATTGGTCTTTGTTGATATGTCATATAACAAAGAGTATATGCAAAGATACAGTATTACAGCACCTGGGGTGGTGGTGGTGGTAAGAAGGTAGCTGTTGTGAAGGATCCAGGTATTTTGCTGGAAATGAAAACTCTGCCTTTGGCAGTGATGATGAGGGCCCCAGGTTCTGCAGGAGGGCACGTTATGGGGTGGTTGCCATCAAAAAAGTGAAAAAAAAAGTTGGTGTAGAGATTCTGAACCATTCTTGCTACTTTGATTTTCTCCTAATTGGGATAAATATTCCTGAAGTTCCTCATCTTACCAGCTTCTTCTCATTTTCAGAGAGAAACTTCTGGAATACCTGCATTCTCTGAAGCAGCCTGATGGCTCCTTCATCATGCACCTAGGGGGAGAAGTTGATGTCCGGTACGTTGAAAACTTTCCATGCATTGCTTTTTCAAAATGCAAATCAGGAGCTGTTAGTTACTGGGAAGTTTCTCCTGAAGTGCATTTAACATTCTGCACAAGTTGGTAATGACATGGCTAGACGTAAAGTAAGAGGCTGAGGCCTTGGCTACTGCTCTACGGAAACACCCTCAGTAAGGGTAAACAGTGCTGTCTTGCCGTGACTGTAATTCAGATGAGCTCAGTGCTGCTGTGAAAAAAAAGCACACACGCTCAGGTTTTATTTTGGTACAGCAAATTGAAGAAAGAAAGCACTTTTAAAACAGAATTGTGGTTTATGCTATTCAATGTGGAAAACCAATAAATGGTTGCATATTTGTTTAAGACTATAACTTCTTTGGACCTTCCCCTCTCCCCCATGAGATTTTGAGGGAAAGAGAAGCCTCTCGGTCTTAATACCAATATCCACACAGTATGTTTTGTAATTATAAATGTAAATGTAAATTAAATTACCAGTTGATTAAGCTTGATGAAGAGAAGGGTGAATGTAAAGTCCAAATTTAGCTTTTGGCATAATTTCCATTCTGTTGTGCTTTTAAAAAATGTGCCCAATTGATGTTGCTTTGGTCACAGAAGCCTTTTTCATTCAGCTGTATAGGAAGGAAGCCAATTGTTAATGATGCCCCTTTCAACACATCCCCCCCACCCCGTGCCCTGTATTCTGAGAATTGGGGAACTTTTTCAGTTTAGAGTGGGAGGTTGCCCATAGCACAGATGGGAACCTGCCAACAATTGTCTCCTTCCTTGTGTTAGTGATGTAAATCTCCTGTCAGCAGAGAGTTGCCATCTTTATCCACATCTCTCTCCTTCCCTCTACCCAAAGCTATTTCATTGCACGTATGCTTTTTTGAGAGTGGAGTGGAGGAATTACTAAAAGTTCTTTTTATGATACATGTTATTTTTCAATAGCATCCTGAGTGTGTCGTAAATACTATAGTGTAATATAGGATTTCTTACTTACAACAGCAGAGCCATATATATTCTTTCTCCATCTATAGCTTTTAAATATTCTTTTTATTTAAATCTTAGGAGTGCCTATTGTGCTGCATCCGTAGCTTCCCTTACCAACATTATTACACCGTCTCTCTTTGAAAAAACTGCAGAATGGATTGCAAGGTAAGAACCTCTTAGTTTGCAATCTAACAGACTTAGACTGTTCTAAGCTACCAAGATGAGGAAAAGCAGATAAACGCTAATCTTATTTTCTGTCTTGGAACAAGAATACAGCCCCTGCTTTTGTGTTTTAATTTTGAATTAGATGTCAGAATTGGGAGGGCGGGATCGGTGGCATCCCCGGGATGGAAGCCCATGGAGGATATACGTTTTGTGGACTGGCAGCCTTGGTCATTCTCAAAAATGAACAAGTCTTGAATTTGAAAAGTTTATTAGTAAGTAACCATTTGTTGGATTCACTTATCTATTTATGCTATTCAAAGAACAGAAGAGAAATCAAACGCATCTGAATTACAGTTTCATAATTTTTATTAAAATGTTCTCAGATATAAAACAAAGTAATATAAACTAAAATTAAGGAAAAGAAGGGAAAAAGTGAGAAAAGTAGGGGAGAGAAAAGCAAACTGAAACAAGAAAAGAAAAATATATAAAGGAGTGACTCCATATCTCCTTTACAGCAGTTACAAGTAAATCTGCACACTTGTCTCTTTAAAATTACATCATATTTCCCCATTATTCAACCTTTTTAAATTAGCAAATCCATAAGTCATCAGATCACCTTTTTTCCATCTTTACTATCTCCATTGTGGGCATCACATTGTTTTTCCATCTTTGTGCATATGATAAGCCTTCTGCAGTCACCATATCCAAACCAGTCTTCTGTAGGTCTTTTTAATTGGCTATCCATAAGTCCCAGTCTATATTGCAGTTTCAAAAATAAATGATGGGTCTAATTCATAATTAATTCATTGCTAATAGGCTTCCCGTTTAACCCTGACCTGCCTTTACCTTTTTTTAGTTTATCTTTTACTACTGCCCAAATCTAGTACTTGGACATCCCTGTCATATTACAAAATTGCATAATTGGGCTTGCATTGTGTAAATATTTCTTCTGGATAAACTGTCTGACATTACTTCTTATGTCTCAAATCTCTGTCTAATCCATAACTCTGTAAAAATATTTTACTAGTTTAGTACCCAAATTCTCAATCCTCTTCCTTCGGATCAATTGTCCCTGTCTTGTTCCAGCACTAGGAGTGCTGGCTGTGATGATGGGATCTGTATTCAGCATCCCATTGTAGAAGATTGCTTTAGCAAAGATGTGTGTGAATTTCATGTCAGCATTTCAGTTAAAAAGTTTTATACGTAACTTTTGGTATTTATTTAGTACTGCAAATTTTATTTCACTCAGTTTCATAAAGGCTCTGAGCATCTTTCCAAAATTATTAGATATTATTTTAGATAGACAATGTTATTGTATTATTAAAAATACAAAATAGAAAGAATAACAAAACATATCACAACACTGAAAATAGTAACAATGAATGTTCCTGTCCATTATCACTCTGGGGAAAACCACTCCTATCCATTATTGGGTGGGGAATATTTGCTATACCCTTATTTCTCAATGGCTATCCTGGATAGCAACTCTACCATAATATAATAGTGTTAAATAAAATTATTTGTAGTGTGTTAATTCAGTAGTCTATTTTTTGTTTCCTTCTTTCAGTTTCATAACTAAGGGTGGCCACCTGGGTACATGGTTGAAATAAGGTTGTATTAAACTGAAGGGGAAATAAAAAACATGCAAATGTCTGTGTCTCTTTTAAGTTGGGTCTATTGCAGGAGTCTCCAAACTTGTCCACTTTAAGACTTGTGGACTTCAACTCCCAGAATTCCTCAGCCAGCACGGCTGGCTGGGGAATTCTGGGAGTTGAAGTCCACAAGACTTAAAGTGGACACGTTTGGAGAACCTTGGTCTATTGTGTGTAACAGCTTCTCTGATTGTGGTGGGCAAGAGTGATGATTGCTTGTTTTCTCTGCCAGCACTGGGTTACAAGCCGTCAGATGCGTTTTGAAGGAGGGTTTCAGGGTCGTTGTAATAAGCTGGTGGATGGCTGCTACTCATTCTGGCAGGCCGGTTTACTGCCTCTCGTACATCGAGCTTTGCATGCCAAAGGTAAGTTTGAACTTCACAATGTTGCCCATGTTTTCCCCACTGGGCACACTTATTTCTTCTTTGGAGTAGACAAGTATGCTGGAGTTCAGTGAAAGCTCAAGAATGAAGAACACAGAATAATCTTAGCTTTGGCATTCTGATTTTGTAGCAACTGAGAAATACTTTTCTTTCAACTTAGTAATAAGACTAGAAAACATATGAGGAAATAGACCCCCGACAGGCAAAAGATCAGAAATGCCTGAAAAATATCATGTCTGAGGATAGGCAAAGTACATTTTTAGCTCTGTCTCTTTTCCAACCTGTCTCTTGTTTAGTACTCATTTGGGTCTAATTATTTCCTTAGCAACTGGATCCTTCAGTTGTCTTGCAGCACATTGTACAGCTGGTGGATGATCTATTGAGTACTTATAACTGGAAAGGCTAGACTAGAGGACAAAAGCAACAGCTGCCAGCAACTGCTAGAAACTTAGTTCTTGCCTGCGGAATCTCCTTAAAGTTCAATAGGATGAAATAGAAAAACTCAGGAAGTGGCATCTTGGTTGTGATTAAGTAAGCCGCATTTGCTACAACTGAGCCTTATGAGTGGGCCATGAGGACATTCTCAACCTGGTGTCTTTCTCATGTTGGGCTACAGCTCCAAGCCTGGCTGGGCACAATAAATGTTGGAGTCCATTGTATCTGAGTAGCTTTACCCAACCTGTCTTCCAAAACAGTTTTGACTCCCAAAATTCTCAGCAATGGCTGCGTTGACTAGAAAAAATCTGAAGAGCTAAATTTAAAACTCTTGGATAGTGTTCGGGTTTGGGAAGGGTGAAACTAGACAATAATAAGATAGGAAATTCAGTTCTCCAATAGGGTCATGCTATAGAACTAAACTTGAATCAATAGATTCCCTTTGTATATTCCCATTAGCATGGCGTGCAGGAGCTATTTTCAACCGTTTCTCTGTACTGATGTAGTGTTTCTCTTAGGTGATCCTGCTCTCAGTATGACACACTGGATGTTTGACCAACAAGCCCTTCAAGAGTACATCTTGTTGTGTTGCCAATGTCCTGCAGGAGGTCTTTTAGACAAGCCAGGAAAGTGAGTAACTTCTAGTACTGGGTAATTCTTGATGGGCATCTTTCTTGCTATTGGAAATGATAAAGTTGGAATTATCAAAAGTGGCTGGTACTTAAGGATGGAACATAAAGCCCTTTGCATAATAGAGAAACATTAAAATGATAGGCAGAGAAGGCATTTTGGAAAATAGAGTTGGGGAGGAACTGGCATTAGAATCTGAATTGGGGAATTTGGATAATCTGCATTGAAATGTACAGCTTCCACGCTTTTTTGTCAAGAGCAGCAAAATTCAGCAATCCGTTTAATTAAGTTAGCTTAAGTTGACATAATTCTGCTTTAACTTGACAGGAGAAATAGCTCATCCCAAACTTACTGACAATCNGCCCTAAAGACATGGCTCTTCCAACAAGCGGGATTGGCCTAGGGAATTTTTAGTGGGGTTTTAAGAGAAATTTTAATTATATAGGCCATAGTAAATATTTCTTTTTAATTTGGTTTTAAATTGGGTATTTATTGTTGTATCTGTTTTATAAGGCTGTCAGCCGCCCTGAGTCCGGTAAGGAGAAGGGCGGGATAAAAATCGAATAAATAAATAAATAAATAAATAATCAACTGCAGCAATTCACTTAACAACTGAGGCAAGAAAGGTTGTAAAATGGAGCAAAATTCACTTAACAAATGTCTGATTTAACAACAGAAATTTTGGGCTCAGTTGTGGTTGTAAGTTGAGAACTACCTGTATTGAAGATGAGACCAAGGGCCTGTACCCACCTTGAGTCTTAGTCTAGCTAGATTTTGCCTGTTGGCTTGATTTTCTACATATTCTGTTCCTAATTTCAACAATGAACTCTACATAAAAGCATGTACATGTAGCATAAAAACATTCCAGTTTTTGTTATCTCAACCTTGTGTGTGATTCCCTTCCAGGTCTCGAGATTTTTACCATACATGCTACTGCCTGAGTGGGTTATCGATAGCACAGCATTTTGGCAGTGGGGATCTTTTACATGAAGTTGTGCTAGGAGTGCCAGAGAACCGTCTGGTAAGCTCTCTCTAAACTGGACTTGATATCTATGCCTGTACAAGCCCAGGATTTTGTTTTTTGTTATTTTTTTCAAGCCTCCTAGTAGAGCTTTCTTAATTATAACCATGTGCAGATATCAGGGACCTTGACATGAGTTAAAATCAGGCTCTTGCAATATACCAAACCATAATGTGGCTTGTAAACCACAGTTTAGTGTTATACGTGTACAAACCAGGATAGCTGGCGTAGTGATGTTAAAACATGTGTCTTCGTGCAAGATAAGAACCCAATATGTAACAATATATAAACTGATACTCTTGTGAGGCAACTTTTAGACACCAGTGGGGATGAGGCAAAATTGGAATACTGGTATGTTGTGTGGGGCAAGTGTCTCCTTGTTTCCCTTCCACAGCCATGTCTACAAGCTTAGTCCCAGCCGACTCTAGCCATCAACAAGATTGAAGGTACCACTCTTCCTGCATCAACAGAGTCCCTGCCTCTTACACATTAGGTTAGAAATCCCTCAATGTTCCATAAATGAGGGAGCTTAATTTTACTGAAATTAAAGTCCATCAGAAATCTGGCATAAATGTTTCTTTCCTGGAGAGCATCTGTTCCTCGGCAGATAACAGCAGTAAATGCCATGCAGACGATGGACAGAACCATAGGAATTAGTTTTTAACAACCAAAATCAAAGCAAGCATTATAAAATACATTTGAAAAGACATGCAGCACGTCCTTAATCTCACAGTTTGAGGCAACGGTATTTAGTGGCTGAAATGAAAGAAGAAACATTTCAAAGATTTAGGCGAGCTGGCTTTGGTGAAAATTTGGTAAGAAGAGGAACCATACAGGTAGTCGTCAAGTTACAATGGCTCATTTAGTAACCGTTGTAAGTTACAACAGCACTGAAAAAAGTGATCTACGACTGTTTTCCCACACTTATGACTGTTGCAGCATCCCCATGGTCACACGATCATAATTCAGATGTTTGGCAACTGATTAATGATGGTTGCAATGTCCCAGAGACATATGATCACTTTTGCAACCTTCTGACAAGGAAAGTCAGTGGGGAAGCCAGATTCACTTAACAATCGTATTGCTAACTTAACAACTGCAGTGATTTACGTAACAACTCTGGGGCAGAATTACCTTGCTTAGCAACAGAAATTTTGGGTTCAATTGTGGTCGAAGTCAAGGACTCCTTGGATTCAAGGTATAGAACAGTGGTGGCAAACCTATGGCACGGGTGCCAGAGGCGACACTCAGAGCCCTCTCTGTGGGCACCCATGCTGTTGCCCCAGTCCTTGGCCTTCAGCTGGGTTTTATAACCCGCTGCCATGTACAAAAAAAAAAAGATCTTGCAAAGTTGGAATTGATTGATTGAACTTTTTAGTCCCACCCAGTCTGCCGTTACCATCGGAGCCACACCCACCCAATGGGCCATACCCACCCGGCACCTGACGATGCATAAGTGGGTTTTGGGGTGCAGTTTGGGCACTCGATCTCTAAAAGGTTCGCCATCACTGGTATAGAAGATTCTTGTGAGACTTTTGGGCCTTCTGCCTGTTTTTTTTCAGGCCTTGAGTTTTCAACCATCACTTGCAAGCTGATACTGATGTGCCACGTGGAGCATATCCAATATCTCTTTTGGTTCTTGTCTTCTCTATTTACTGTATCTCTCGTTCCTCTTGTGGAGAAACATTTCATGAGGGTAATGTTTTGAAAAATATTCCTTTGAGATATTTAGGTGCTAACGTTAGTTACAAGTGATGCCATGCTCATCCTCCTCAGAACTCAGGGAGGCTTACATGAGGTCACCTCTAGGTTTATCCCTTCATCCTCACATAGTTTCCAACTTGGTAACTAGAAGGAAAAATCTTCCCCGCCAGCCAGATGGCAAGCAGAGGAGTTTGCTGAATCTTGCTGTTTCATTGTGTAGAGATAGGCAAGCAAGCGTTGTTGACTTAGCCACAGGAATGTGTCTTTTTTTTTTCCAATGCTAAACCTTGAAAACAGCTTAAGGATATTGATTCACTTAAAACTGGGCTTCACAACACATTGTTCAGTGGTCAGAGCAAAGTTGAGGCAATTTTCTAATGATCCAGAACTTAATATATAGAACTTCAGGACTTAATATATTTGTTTAACTCATTACTCAAAGTTACAACAGTGCTGAAAAAAGTTACAGTTGGTCCTTGTACTTATTATCGCAGTGCCCCATGGTCACAAGATCATGATCTGGGTGCTTGACAACTAGCTCACATTTACATGTTTGCAGCATCCTGGGGTCATGTAATTGCCATTTGGGACCTTCTCAGGAGCCTCCCAACAAACAAAGGCAATAATGGAAACTTAAAGACTGTAGCAAAAAAAGATCATAAACTGGGTCAGACTCGCTTAACGACTGCCTCACTTAGTAATAGAAGTTCTGAACTCAATTGTGATGTAAGTCAAGGACTCCCTGTAGCTCTGTGGTCAAGCTTTTACCAAGCAAAATGAAATGCATCTGCTGACTGAATGTCTTATATAACATATTTAAATGTCCAGATTTGGGTTCTTCTTCTTTTGGTTTGTTTGTTCGAGAACTACCAACAGCCAGCAGAATTGTGGCTAATTCTTTTTTTTTTACTTTCCTTCATTCCCAAACAGCAGCCAACGCATCCTGTCTACAACATCTCCCCTGGCAAAGTGATGCAAGCTGTGATGCACTTCCTGAAAAAGCCAATTCCAAGTAGAGAAGAGACTTTTGCTAACTGAGCCTTTCCGCTGCCCTTAGAGAGACTCTGCAGTGTACTGTCCTGATGTTCGGCGCATAACGCTGCATACCGTCTTAGCTGATGTGGGACTGAGCCATGAAGCTAACTTCCTTGGGCTCTACTGTGTGTGGGTGTGTGGGTTTTGAGAGAGCTTTGCTAGCCATACCAAAAATATACCAGTTTTTAGAATGGAATAGCTGATTGGCTGTATGATGGTGTATGGTTGGTCAAGCTGGGTGCTCACTTATGCAGGAAGGCCTCTCATTAAGGAGCAGCTTTGTTTTTGAAACAATGCAGCATGTTGTTATCGTAAGCATCTGGCAAAGCAGCTCTGTTGTTTCATTTGCACTATGCTAAGCATCATGGGGGTGGGAAGTACGGGTGTGTGTGTGTGTGTGTGTGTGTGTGTGTGTGCAGCGTCATCATCAGCTGCATACTGGCTTGGCCAGAGATGGTACATTGATCTCCTGCTCTGGCAGTTTCTTTATCTGGCTATTTACATTCCCTGAGGAATTCTAAACATTTCTAGCCAGAAGATGAGTTTCGCAGCTATTGGATACATCAGGAGAAAGAAAACCAAGCAAGATGGTGTGTGCATATCCTCACTATGTAGTCCTATATCACATGTTGGAGCACACTGGGAAACCGTGGTCTTGAACATTGGTAATAAAAGGTCTCTTTCTGCCTAGAGCAAAAAGACTCAGATAGGAATGCTTGGTGCAAGACTTTATTTTCCTTTTTAATTGCTTGTCCAGGGACGGGATTGATAATACAATGATGTTTATGCATTTTATAAGATATATACATACATACATACATACATACATACACACATACACAGTACATTCAGAAAGTATTCAGACCCCCTTCACTTTTGTCAATTTTGTTATACCAAAGCCTGATTCTACAGTTTTTTACATTCATTTTTTTCCTCATTAATCTACACTCAGTACACCATAATGACAAAGTAAAAAGAGAATTTTAGAAATGTCTATAAATTTATTAAAAACAAAAAACTGAAATATCACATTGGCATACGTATTCAGACCCTTTGCAACAATACTTGAAATTTAGCTCCAGTGTCTTCCATTTCTCTTGATAGTTTCTGACATGTTTCTACACCTAGATTGGAGTCCACCTGTGGTAAATTAAATTGATTGGATATGATTTGGAAAGGCACACACCTCTCTATAGAAAGCCTCATAGCTGACAATAGGTTCTGTAGCAGAGCAAAAGCCATGAGGTCACAGGAACTGCCTGCAGAGCTTAGAGACAGGATTATTGCAAGGCGCAGATCTGGGGAAGCCTACAATAAAATTTCTGCTACACTGAAGAGTCCTAAGAGTTCAGTAGCCTCCATAATTCTCAAATGGAAGAAGTGTGGCACAACCCTGAGTCTTCCAAGAGCTGGTTGCCCAGACAAACTGAGCAGTCAGGGTAGAAGGACCTTAGTAAGAGAGGTGGCCAAGAACCTGATGGTCACTCTGACTGAGCTCCAGAGATCCTGTGTGGAGATGGGACAGAGTTCCAGAAGGACAACCATCATTGCAGCCCTCCACCAATCTGGACTTTATGGCAGAGCGGCTAGACAGAAGCTTCTCCTCAGTGCAAAACACATGAAAGCCCTCTTGGAGTTTGCAAAAGGTCTGAAGGACTCTCAAACTGAGGAAGAAGATTCTCTGGTCTGATGAAACCAAGGTTGAACTGTTTGGCCTCAATTCTAAATAATATACCTGGAGGAAACCAGGCACTGCTCATCATTTGCTCAATAGCCCGACAGTGAAGCATGGTGTGAACATCATGCTGTGGGGGTGTTTTCAGCAGCTGGGACTGGGAAACTAGTCAAGGTTGAGGGAAAGCTGAATGGAGCAAAGTACAGGGATATCCTCAATGAACACCTGTTCCACAGTGCTCAGGACCTCAGACTGGGCCGAAGGTTCACTTTCCAACATGACAATGATTCTAAGCACACAGCCAAAATGACAGGAGTGGCTTAGGGATAGTTCTGTGAATGTCCAAGAGTAGCCCAGTCAGAGCCCTATGAACATCTCTGGACGGTCGCCATCCAACCTGACTGAGCTTGAGAGGATTTGCAAAGAAGAATGGCAGAAAATTCCCCAATCCAGGTGTGCAAAGCTTGTCGTGTCCTACCCAAAAAGACTGGAGGCTGTGATTTCTGCTAAAGATGCTTCAACAAAATACTGAGTGAAGGGTCTAAATATTTACGCCAATGTGATATTTCAGTTTTTCCTTTTAGTAAATTTACAAACATTTCTAAAATTCTGTTTTCACTTTGTCATTATGGGGTACTGACTAGATTAATGAGAAAAAAATGAATATCAACAACTGTAGAATCAGGCTGCAGCATAACNGAAAATAGAGTTGGGGAGGAACTGGCATTAGAATCTGAATTGGGGAATTTGGATAATCTGCATTGAAATGTACAGCTTCCACGCTTTTTTGTCAAGAGCAGCAAAATTCAGCAATCCGTTTAATTAAGTTAGCTTAAGTTGACATAATTCTGCTTTAACTTGACAGGAGAAATAGCTCATCCCAAACTTACTGACAATCCTATTTAACTCAACCAAACTTTAAAGCCACTTCCCATCTCCCACTTGCCTTGGGTTCTATTGTGAGGATAAATGTAGCCAGATTAATATATGCATTGGTCGGAAAGACCTGAGAAATGAAAGCTAAAGACTCTGAGGAGATGGAATTCTACCATCATCCTTCAGCTCTTTCTGCCTTTCTTTGGGATACCCATGGACTTAATGTGAGGTGCAGGTAGTCCTTGACTTAGAATAGTTCATTTAGTGACCGTTCAAAGTTACAGTGGCATTGAAAAAAGTGAGTTATGACTGTTTTTCACAGTTACAACCTTTCCAGCATTCTCATGATTATGTGATCAAAATTCAGATGTTTGGCAACTGGTTCATATTTATGACCGTTGCTGTATCCCAAACTCATGTAATCACTTTTTGCAGCCTTCTGACAAGCAAAGTAATGGGGAACCCAGTTAACAACTGGGTTACTAACTTATCAACTGCAGCAATTCACTTAACAACTGAGGCAAGAAAGGTTGTAAAATGGAGCAAAATTCACAACAAATGTCTGATTTAACAACAGAAATTTTGCGCTCAGTTGTGGTTGTAAGTTGAGAACTACCTGTATTGAAGATGAGACCAAGGGCCTGTACCCACCTTGAGTCTTAGTCTAGCTAGATTTTGCCTGTTGGCTTGATTTTCTACATATTCTGTTCCTAATTTCAACAATGAACTCTACATAAAAGCATGTACATGTAGCATAAAAACATTCCAGTTTTTGTTATCTCAACCTTGTGTGTGATTCCCTTCCAGGTCTCGAGATTTTTACCATACATGCTACTGCCTGAGTGGGTTATCGATAGCACAGCATTTTGGCAGTGGAGATCTTTTACATGAAGTTGTGCTAGGAGTGCCAGAGAACCGTCTGGTAAGCTCTCTCTAAACTGGATTTGATATCTATGCCTGTACAAGCCCAGGATTTTTTTTTTGTTATTTTTTTCAAGCCTCCTAGTAGAGCTTTCTTAATTATAACCATGTGCAGATATCAAGGACCTTGACATGAGTTAAAATCAGGCTCTTGCAATGTACCAAACCATAATGTGGCTTGTAAACCACAGTTTAGTGTTATACGTGTACAAACCAGGATAGCTGGCATAGTGATGTTAAAACATGTGGCTTGGTGCAAGATAAGAACCCAATATGTAACAATATATAAACTGATACTCTTGTGAGGCAACTTTTAGACACCAGTGGGGATGAGGCAAAATTGGAATACTGGTATGTTGTGTGGGGCAAGTGTCTCCTTGTTTCCCTTCCACAGCCATGTCTACAAGCTTAGTCCCAGCCGACTCTAGCCATCAACAAGATTGAAGGTACCACTCTTCCTGCATCAACAGAGTCCCTGCCTCTTACACATTAGGTTAGAAATCCCTCAATGTTCCATAAATGAGGGAGCTTAATTTTACTGCAATTAAAGTCCATTAGAAATCTGGCATAAATGTTTCTTTCCTGGAGAGCATCTGTTCCTCGGCAGATAACAGCAGTAAATGCCACGCAAGCGATGGACAGAACCATAGGAATTAGTTTTTAACAACCAAAATCAAAGCAAGCATTATAAAATACATTTGAAAAGACATGCAGCACGTCCTTAATCTTAAGTTTGAGGCAACGGTATTTAGTGGCTGAAATGAAAGAAGAAACATTTCAAAGATTTAGGCGAGCTGGCTTTGGTGAAAATTTGGTAAGAAGAGGAACCATACAGGTAGTCCTCAAGTTACAATGGTTCATTTAGTGACCGTTGTAAGTTACAACAGCACTGAAAAAAGTGATCTACGACTGTTTTCCCACACTTATGAGTGTTGCAGCATCCCCATGGTCACACGATCATAATTCAGACGTTTGGCAACTGATTAATGATAGTTGCAATGTCCCGGAAACATATGATCACTTTTGCGACCTTCTGACAAGGAAAGTCAGTGGGGAAGCCAGATTCACTTAACAATCGTATTGCTAACTTAACAACTGCAGTGATTTACGTAACAACTCTGGGGCAGAATTCACTTAACAACTACCTTGCTTAGCAACAGAAATTTTGGGTTCAATTGTGGTCGAAGTCAAGGACTCCCTGGTACAGAACAGCGATGGCGAATCTTTTAGAGACCGAGTGCCCTAAAACTGGCCCCGCTCCCGCTCCTCCCCCACCCCACCTGCCCGCAGGGCCACTCATCACCTCCAGGGCCCGCCGCAGATTGCCCAGCAGTGCCATGGGAGCCACGCTCTCTGCCCGCGCCCCGCAGCATCAACTGTGCGCAATGGAGCGTGAGGGCAGAGTCTTGTCTATGCTGCCTGGATGCCATGTCCTTGGCTGCACTGCTCCGCGTGGGCTACGCTCGGGGGCGACTGGTGGTGAGGAGGGGGTCACGGGGGGAGGCAAGGCTGGGGCAACGGCACGTGTGCCCACAGAGAGAGTTCCGAGTGCCTCCTCTGGCACCCGTGCCATAGGTTCACCACCACTGGTATAGAAGATACTTGTGAGACTTTTGGGCCTTCTGCCTGTTTTTTTTCAGGCCTTGAGCTTTCAAACCATCACTT